ATGCCATCAAGCACAGCCAGAGAGCTCTGCTCTACTTCTCAGATGAGGAATCATCTTGCTTCAGCAGTAGTGAACTAATTCACCACTCTGTTCTATGATTAATTCCCATCTGCAATCTGATCCTGTTATGAAAATAATGACCATGTAAAACAGTGTCTAGATTGTCACTTGGGATGACCCAACACATTTCATCATGTACAGATAATGAGAAACGTCAACTGGGCATGGTTTCCCAGAGCATGTATAAAATGTGCCCTTACCTTGGGCGTTCCTTCAGTTCTTTTTATTCCCCTCTGCAATTCTTTTGCAAAGTGAGAAGGGGGCCATTTTGAGATTGCTTCCGCCTTTAGGGTTGCCAAGTGGATTTTCGACGGGAGTGGGGGCCTCCTAGCTGGCGTCTGTTGCTTGCGCCGCATGCACGTCACCCAGAGGTGACGTGACGACGCCAGGCACGCTGGGGGCGGGGCCCCAGCCATACGAGGGAAAACCATAAAGTTTGCCCTCGGATGGCCGTGGCCCCGCCCCCAGCGTGGTCACGTCACTTCCGGGTGATGTGCACATCGGGGAGGAGTTCCCCCCGGGGCCCGATTCGGCGGCGGGGGGAAACGGGCCTCTGGGGTGGGGGTTTCCCCGCCCCTCAGGGGGACTTGGGAAGCCTATCCGCCTTCTGTGGCAGCCATTTTGGGGTGTCATTCACTAGCCCTTCTCAAGATTCCAAAAGTGCCCACAGATTCAAAAAAGCTGGGGACCCCTGGTCTAGATATGGTTCATGGGGGTTCTTCTTCTTCTTGTATGAGAGAATTACATTGAAAAGGCAGATCTTGAATTAGGGGAATCAAAACAAATTAGTCCATATAAAAGACTCTCTAGCTTTGCAGTGGAGAAAAATACCAAGGGACTGGAATATACCTAATAGTGGATTTTCAATTCCAGTTTACACCGCTGTCAGCTCCGAACAGAATGTTAAGTGCTAAGAATATAGCCAAAAGGTTGCTCCTAGAGCACCTAATTTCAATCATGATATTCTCCTGATTTTCTTCTGCTCTCAATCTGTAAAGTAATTTGTAAAGTTTAAAAAGTGCAGACTCAAGCCAGAAGCAATCTTCAGTCTGTTTTTTTTTTTGGCATGACTGAATGGCTGCACAAGTGGTTAGAACAAAGTGAAGAATTTAACCCTTTAAAAGCTTCTTTTCCTCATCTTGCTTTTCACAAAAAAGGATTCCCTATCCTATCAGCATAACAAACTGCTTCTATCTGCTTGGAAAGCATAAAGAGGCTGTAATACCAACATTTTGGTATCAACCAGTAGCAAAAAGTTTCCAGCCAGTATAACACAGCTGGGCTGGAAAAGCTTATCTGGACAAATACTACTTAATCTGTGTCAACACTCTGTTGAACATGTAAATCTGCCGAAATGTTAGCTACACACTGGAAGCCTTTGAGCGAGCCGAGATGCCACCTGCTGGTTAGTATATTTAATTCTCGTACATGCTTTCACCAAGGGGATAGGGATTATTCTAAGAGTCTTATGGGACTCTGTCCAATTAAAACTAATAACATTCCCTTCCTCATCTTTATTTTTTCTCCACTGACTATAAAAGTTCTAAACATTGAATTAAATAGAGACAATTTAATCAATGGCGTGTAATGAAGAAAGCCATATAAAACTCTAGCAGCTGCATCTAGGTAGAAAGGCTGCCAAGGGACTGCATTTGTAATTGGAGATGCCCAATTTAGAGTTAGATGAACAATTATGCTAAGTAGAACAGGGACCAGGCCAAACTACAGGTCTACCGATGATGCAATTAATGCAGAATGCCTTTATATTTTAAAAGAGACTATCCTGCGCCTGCTATCAGGTTTCTTAAATCTGCTGTCAGTTTCCTTAAATCTGCTGCTGGTGGCTCCTGCGATGACAGGGTAGCCATGGTGGCCATGACCAGTGTTCCCTCTAAGCTGAGTCAGTGTGAGCCAGCTCACAGTTTTTTAGCCTCCGGCTCACACATTTTTGTCTCAGCTCGGGAAGAAGGGCTCCAGAGCCAACTCATTTATGCAGCAGCCAAATTGCTCGCCCACAGCTTTAATGCCGGTAGCTCACAAAGTAGAATTTTGGCTCACAGGACTCCATGACAGGGTAGCCATGGTGGCCATGACCAAGATGACTCCAGCGGCCTGACGTCACTGGGGGCAGTCGTGGGGGCAACTGCAGCACAACCTGCCTGGAAGGTGCAGCCAAAGATGCTCCTCAATGATGCAACGATGGAGAGGTGAGGCTTGAATCAGAAGGCTGAAGCCAACAAGCCAGTGAGCCTCAGTAAGGAACAGTCCCACTGGGGCAGCTGCCAGCTTTATACCCCCATGGGTGCCAGGAGCCCTTATGAGAAGGGGAAGATGACCAGTGGGCTTGCACGAGATGCACATCCCAATCTAGGGGGTTAGAGGGAGGCCTTGCTGGGGATGAAGTGCGCAGATCGGTTTCCTAGGGCAAGGCTCAGGACACACAGGAGAGGAGTAGGGTGCTGTAGACCACTCCCCTCTCCGTCTAAGGCATTGAGAAGGAAGGTATCATTGCAGCAGGCCCCATCAGGAGATGATGGGAACACAAATTTTCCCACTTAGTCAAACAGGGAGTTATCTCTGAAGAGTACACAGATCCCTGGTCTGGTGTGGTTAGAAACTGCCTGTAGAAACCTTAAGAGTCAGTTAAAAACTGAAGATGAGTACTAATGTACTGTAGTGTTTGGAGAAAACACTGGAACAAAAGCCTCTCAACATAAAGTCACTGTGAAAATCTTAAGAAACTCTCATTAGCTTGAAACATAAGAACTAAAGTCTGTGCATTTACTGATTTTTACCTCAGAGTTATCTATATTGAGTTACCTCAGAAATTTTCGACCCCTGAGTTCACCTCAGCTTTCCCCTCTGTGTTATATAAAATATTTTGTTATTTTTGGATTTCAAAATGCCTTGAGTGCCATTTGAGTAGTTTAAGTTAAAGGGCGATCCCGAATCCTTCCCTCAGGTTCCCGGTCTGAGACAGCAGTAAAATATCACCCTGAGACAGGGTGAGATGGCCAGAGTTCTTCAGGAGAGAAGAAAACAGACTACAAGAGCTGCTCAGTCAGAAAGGGAAAGAAAAGTGGAGGGAAAATCTTGCCTCTGAGGGAGGGAAGTGAATGGGCCATCATACCTTCCTTCATAAACCAGGATAGCTTAGGCTACTCAAAAACTGAAAATACAAACTTCTGTAGCATTTTAACAGAACTGGCTCCAAGTTTTAGCAGCCCAAGTAATAACAATCACTAGTGAAGACTGATTCTTGTTGTGCTTTGACACTGCAAGTAGAAGGAATGGTGATACATCTAGAGCTTTAGGTACCTTTACCTTTAAGTGGATACGTCTCATATGACAACTAATTCTTCATAAAGAATTTTAATAAGGCTAGATAATAAGGCTACAGCTGCGGTGGCTCAAGTGGTTGAGACGCTGAACTGCAGGCTGGAAGGTCGGTAGTTCAGCAGTTAGAGACCTGAGTGCCACATGACTGAATGAGCTCCTGGAATTAACCCTGGAATTAAACACTGAAACTGCTAATTTAGATGCCATGCAACACTGCCCACCAGCCTTGAGAGCTTGGGCTTCCCCCTTCTTCCCTCATTCTCCCCTGGCTGCCATGGTAAAAGTTAAAACTCCGAAGTAGTTATAAGGGGGAGCTGCAATGGGACGCCAAGAGAAGCATGTCTCATATGACAGAGAGGAGCAATAAGTGCTTACATCAAAGAATGTTCCTGCATGCTCCAGGATCAGCTGGCTGGAATCGGGCTTGTTTTTGCAGTAGGTGACATACATCTGAAATTTATCTGCCTGTGAAAACAAACATAATGACGGGAGGAAAAAGCAAGATAAGCAAACACTGCACTAGCACCATTTCCAAGCAAGCTCCCCCAGAATAAATATATGATATACGTCAGTCCCTCTAACAAGGAAAGTGGCACTGCAGACAAAGGGAACAAAACCAAGCCAGATGTGAGCTTAATGTTAGGATGCTCCAGGGAAACCACAGCAACATTACAAAGGAGATAATCATGGTTTATTTATTGATTTGTAGTCTATATTCACAAGCAGGGGTCATTTCCTGCGGGAGCACACAGGAGCGGAGCTCCGGCAGTAAGGAGCCCGGGGGGTGGGCACATGTAACAAGCCCCGCCCCCTGATCCCAACAGCCCTCAGTTGGCCCACGAGAAGCAAGAAGCAGCCAGGTAAGTTGTAGAGTCCCCCCCGGCCCACCTTCAGGTACAAGCTCTCCCTTCTCTGTGAGGACAGATCTACACGTCCCCCCCCCCCAATAGTTAGCAATCCAAAACA